GGGCATGCTTTGCTTTGCTATCTTCTTCTCCATACCAGTTGTTTTCTTTTGAAGTCCCTTGGACTGTTCTTTTGAGAGGTTGTCATTGGAAGTCATTTGTTGTTCTTACTACTGCGTCCTTCTTGTGGTGTAATGTTTATAGCTTTGTACTTCTTGTTATGTTTATCTTTAACTGCCATTTTCCTTCTCCTAATTTCTTTAGTTTCTTCTCTTATCACCGGTCTACATATTCCTTAGAATTCAATACCAGCAATATATACACGAAAGCAAGAGGAGCAACCATATGGCTGCTTCTCAAGGGACAAGGAAAGCGACTCTGTCTGGTGTATCAGGTTTTTTTACATTATATGTTTTTAGATGCCAAATAATTGGTTGTATCGGGTGTTGTGGAAATGTTCAGAATAATAATATAATAAGGTCAATGGAGAATATAAATAACTGGCCTTCATAACTTTAACATTCTTGAGTGTGCAAACTGATGGCATCAAATGTTACCATGCCCATTCTAGCCATTACCATATATTCCCTTTTTAACAAGAGTGATTTTTCTGACAATTTGCAGAATCTGTTGACGTCTCCGTTAATGTTTTTTCCTTATTATAGATTGTAACTTTCATGGATGTCAAATTTGATGTCAATATCTCAAGAGTATTTTTAAGGTTACTTTATTATTTTCCACTTGATTTTTATTATATATATATTCTCAAGTCTAGAGAACCAGCAATATCTTTGCTCTCCAAATTTCTACTTAGTATTTCAAAATGCAATTGGCACCCAACTTTTACATTTCTTGTGTCTTATCTTTTCACCAACCAAGTTATCTAACTACTTAAAAGGTTTAGACCTGGTTATCCAACCAAGATATTTAACATAGGTTATCTAACTTCTTAGCCACATATATATGCAATCAAACACATTGATACTCAGGATGAACTTCATCAAAATCGTCAGACACTAGGAAAAACAAAGATCTAGATTTTATCTTTCTAGATATATCAAGATTTTGGTTTACAATTCTAGAAAAAAGTGATTCATCAAAGTAAAACAACATCATATTTCATTCAAGAATAAACAATGGAAAAACTCAAGCATTATTTCCTAGCAATGCAATGAGCATTGTCTTGTAATCTCCCGAAGTGTGATCCTTGACTACTTGTTTGAGTGACATACTATTTCTCTTGTAGTAGACCGCCTCTATCGTCTTCAGATCAACCTCTGCACGAGTAGTAACTATTCGAGTAAGAGAATTTACATCGATTCGTAGACCTTTTATAGCCAATCGGATTACTTTCTCCAAGTATTTCTCTGGGTAACATGTACAACGTATGATCGCTCTTAATGCAACGAGGAACTCGTTTTTGCGATCAGACTTTAAATCCTACGAGAAGACAAAATCTAATCAAATATTAAAAAATAGTTACGGTATTACATGAAACCTTGATGTATCTTAATCCAAAGTTTTATATTTTCGAAGTTACAATAATTAATTTTAGTTATTAAAAATACACCTTAAAATCCACCTAATAAAGTTGTTGTAATAAAAATTGCTACTTTGATGGAGCTTATACCTTAATAATGGATTTACCATACTCATTTTTGTAATGACTTATTGTTGCAATCAACTGAGCTTTGCTCCTTGCAGTGATAATCCAAATGAGTTCTTCATGGCTGTAAGCCTTGTCAGTGATCTTTTCATGCAGCATCTTGGCCTCAGATTTTGCCAAATTTCTGTTCACCTCTATTCCCTCATAGCGGTATGAGGTTACAAGTGGCACCAAAAGCTGAAATACACAAAATGGACATTAATAAAACAACTTGTACAGAAAGCAAAAGAAGATACCTATTCTCTTTATGTCTTTTTTTTTTTGTTGATTATAACATTGAGTTCCATAGCATTAGTCCTCTGATACGATCGTAATAGTAAGGTCGTCCAATGTCAGACCAGGGCCAACCACATCATCCCATCTCCAAGCTGCTCGGTAGCAGCTGCTCCTTGTTGGCATAAACTTCCTCTTTATAAGAAAGAAGAAGGAAAGGGAAAGGGTGATTTCTACAGATGGGTTGGGTTGATCAGTCTAAAGGTCAGCGCTATTTTGTGCTTTTAGCGGGACTCAATTGGCCGTAATGGAAAATGGACAAGGGGGCGCGTCTCAATAGTACACTCCTTTGTATGTCAATCCCTAATTGAAGAAAAGAAAATGATACAAGTACTA